CATATATTTTTATAATTAACTTGGAAACAGTATTGGCAAAGAAATTAGCAAATTGTGCTACTAAGAATGTTTACAAGAAAACTTTGGAGCAAAGGTAAACCAGTACATGTTGTTTGAAGAAGTTCAATACAAATTATAACAAGAGAAAAAGCTAGAAGGAATCAGAGGCTGTGGACTTTCCAAATCAGTTTGCTTCACTTGCATGGGTTTTTTTCACCCTCATGGGGTGAGGAGCTGGTCTTACCCTAGCATTGAAGGCCTCTTTCTCTCTACCCTCCCCTTCTGTCTAAGCACATCTGCTGGGTACTGTGGCAGTATATTTATGAGGCCAGCATGACAGGGTCTTGCAAAACTTGATGAGGATACTTTTGGAACTGCAGATGCTGCTTGCACTCCATTGAAAGCATGAACTAATTATGAACTAGATAGTAGTGTGATGATCTCGGGAAAAGGAGAAACCTGGTAATGTGATTCTGAAAGCATTAACTCGAAACTATTTTTAAGGTCCTGCACCAGTTGTCTGTCACCTCTGAGGTTATCACCTCTCCACTTTGTGCCCAGTTGCAAGTAAAGCTTGCAGTGAGAGTATTTTTCTTGTGCTGCATTTATCGTCATTTTGCTGGATTCAGTCAAAGACAAGAACTCTTTTCAGAGTTTCCCAACAAGCAGACATCACCGCTGCTCCCAATTCAGAGATTCAGTGGCTAATCCAAATGTTTCTTAATGTTTGTGTTCCTGTGGACTAAGTAAATGACACTTCGCCTTTGTTCCCATTTTTTATTTGTATGTTGGGCTGGAAGGTGGGTCATCTTTACTGTTTACCCTGCTCTCACCTGGGTGGTACTACAATATGTGAATGGTGAAAATACATGCATAACTGGTGAGCCTTTTCGTTGTCTAACTGGGTTAACTGGTGCTGCTCCCACCCCTACCCTTGTGTCTGTCTTGCCTTACAGCAAACTAATACAGGTGGTGGATCAGCTCGTGGGCTCAGACAAATGACAAATCTATCAGACAGGAGAGGGTGGAACTACAGTACCAGGAAAGATGCCCCTTTTGATGGTACCTAGTTGTTAGACTGGTTGCTCTGTAATATGAAACCTTATCCTTAATGACATTGCGATCTTGGCTGCTGTTTGGCTATGAGGTTCCAAGGACATAGATCAAATACAAACACTGTTAATGTTTTTACAATAGTGTGCTGTAAAAATCTGATTGTCTTGCCATTACTTTGCTAGTAGTAGATCACCTTCTTCACAGTGTTCTAGACGGCAATTTAAAAAAAATGCACATGACTGTATTTGCAAACATTGACAACTTTATTTTTAAAAATTGTATTTGAAAATGTCTTTTTTAGAAGGTTAAGGGATGTTTTCTAAAAATATGCTTAGGTTACATTTTATCATCTTTTTTTACTTGCCAGCAAGCATTGCTGCTGAAAAGTCCAGTCCCTTCTATGGCTGTGTGATTCAGCTGTATTGGCACCAGTGATCGTGGAGCTGTTGCAGTTTTTCGGTACAGTTAGACTTGCCGGTCCAGCTGGACCTGTGTTCATATAGCTGTATCGCTTTGTACTGCTCCACTGGCACAGAGGGTGTATTAGAAATATCTTGCCAAGGTGGGAGCACTCCTTTTGGCATTAGCTCAGATTTATATTGGTCTCTGTGAATTGTGATCCCCAGACTTTGCCAGTTCCTTGTCAACAGTAATGAGGAAAAACATACAGTAGGAAACATGTTTGAATCTCCCTGTTGCCTGCAATATTCATGTTGGTTTACAGCCATAGGAGAAGACAGTATTGCCTATTAGCTGTGACTTGGAGTCATACAGATGCTGGAGATCTAGGGCTTTAGTATGAGATTGAGCGGTGTAGTGATGGTAAAAGCTTAAAAACTAGCTGCTGCAGTATTTCATGTGTAACAGTCACTGTTGTCTGTGATATCATACCCCATAGTAGTTCCTTAAAAATATTTTAAGAAAATGCACTGTAGGAGACTTTTCTATTTGCATACAAACTCTAAGTAGTTTTGCAAATTCTCTCTAGACATTTGACTAGAATAATCAAATCTTTTGATCACTTGACTGTGGGTTTGTGCATAGAAGAACCTGCCTTGCTTATGAGTGAGTCCCCCCCCAAACCTAGTGTTTCCATTGTGTGTTTGGTGCTTAACTGTGGTGTGTTCGCTCGGCCTCTGAGTTGGTCCATCTGGCGAAAGGTGTGAGATTTTAAGGATAACAAATCCCTCAAGTACTGGAGTATGTGAATAATTTAAAACTTGAATGTTGTGGTTTATGTAGTAGTGTAACTACTGATGTAAGATATTCTTAAATCAAGCTGCTCTTTAAATACTGCAACACTTCATGTATTGGCAAGCATCACTGGCTTCAAGTGACAATAGCTGGTGATAACCTTCCTAGTAATTCCCACAAAATAATTTAATTTATTATTTTTGAAAAATTCAAGACAACCTGGATTTTTTTTTTCAAAGCTAAATGCTTTCAAAAGTAAAGGAGAAGAAAAAATATTTGGGCCAGTGCTAGTAATGAGCATTTGTGCAAATGCTCATAAACCTTCATACTGCTGGTGAGTAGCAAACATTCTGTGTAGTGCCTAACAGCTGTGCTCTGTCAGGCCAAGGATCTAGTGCTTTGTCTCTGACATGGGAAAAAAAAAAAAAACCACAACCAAAAATGGGTACAAGAACAAGGCAATGTGATACTAAAGTATACTCTTCCAGTTATTGGCAGCCTTTGGTTTCGGAAACTTTTTGAGCCAGGAGTTGCATCTGGAATGTAATCGAATAGTCCTCTTTGGACCTTTCTTCCATCAATTTGTCTTGATTGCTTTTTGAGACCATTTCTACTTTTGGCCAACATCCTATGTAAATGAGTTTGTCTCACTGTCGGGGGGGTGTATAGGAAAAACCCTTCTTTTAGTTTAACCTTCTGTTTGATAACTGTGTTGCTGTACTGCTCATACTTGTGTGGTAAGGGGCAGGGTAAGAATAGTCTTTTTCTACTCCTTTTCTCCAAGTGGTTTGTAATTTCTGTAGATTTCTGATATATCATGCCTTAGTTACCTTTTTTGAAACTGCGGATTTCTAGATCTCTTTAGTGTTTTCTTCTGTGTATGATACTGCATGAGTTAGATGCATGTCACACTCTTGTTACTTTTTCTGGTTCTACCCTATCTCCATTCAAGTTTTGGGCATGCCAGGGATTTATGACTTGAATACGTTTAAAATTATTAGGAAAGGAATGGAACAGAGAACTTCCTATTTTTCCTCCCTAACTGGTGCTTCCAGTATGCTGCTGTTTTGCCATTTTCTAGTGCCTGATGCTATCCTCATCTGTGAATTTTAAGTCTTTCCACCTGTGCTTATTCTGGGTCCTGCTTTGATTGCAGCACAAAAGCTGTTCAGAAGCTTATTTAACATCAAAAGTTGTTGTCATGGTTTTTATTCATATTCCAAATTTGAAAACAGAATGGTAATTGACAGTGTTCAATCTTCAGAATGAAAGAGTGAATTGACATTTCCTATGTAGTAGAAAATCTGTCATAGCAGTGTTGGGAAGGTTTACTGTGAAATGAACACTGCAATGAAAATGATCTGGTGTTACCTTCATTGTTAGAGCTCAGGAGGGAGTGTTGTATGTGCAATAAGACTTGTTTAGTGTTTGGTTTTTTTCTTATTTGTACCAATGGTGTCTGAGTCCAAATTCAGTTTTGATAAATATACTTTAAATATATTAAACTATTATGTTCATTTTATAATAAATGGAAACTTTAGGACTTTTAGTTAAATTTAATCTTCTAAATGAAAGCTTTACCTCTGGTCATCAACAGTATGTGTAAACTTCTAAGCAGTTTTAACTACAGATAGAAGTGGTGCTCTGGCTGTCTCCCATGATGGTCTTTTTGGAGGAAAGAGGTATGGAAAGTGTTTTGAATGTTTTTCCAGAAAGAGGAAACTTTTCCTATGGTAACTTGTACGGCAGAATAATGGGGCAAGGATTATCAAATGCTACAAAAAGTAGTGTTACCAGTAACTCTGAAATACAAGAATAGCAATACATGAGATCTAAATTTGGCGATTTCTCTGTTTCTCCTCATCTTTCTGACATCTGCTTGCTGCATTTATAGAACTGTGTCGCAGAGATGGAGAAATGTTAAGTTTAGATTCACTTTACTGGGTATCTTGCTGAGTCACAAATACTTTTAACTCCTAACGTTGGGAGGAAGAAACATTGGCTACTTTGCTTGTCAAGTAAAGCTTTTATTCCTGATGCATTTTAGGTGTATATCTCAAAGCTGGTATGTTCTACAAATTCTTATTTTGAGAGCTGCTGTTCCAGTGAGTATGCATAGGGCTAACTGCTTTCCTATTTTTTGTTGTTCATTCAGTGTTTAAACTGACCTTCTGTGTGTGTCTATATAGGTCTTTTGGCAGTGCTAATGCTATGTCTCTCTGTACGTCTGAATCTGCCACTTTGTCCCAGACCGGGCTCTGTACGTGACGTGGTGGCGGCCGTTTCTCTCTCTCTCCCTGTGTCAGAGGAAGGTGCTGGTGCTACTCGCTCCCCATGGGTGGCCTTACGGAGTCAATGCACTCCCATGGGGTCTGTGAGGTCTAAGTTTAGTTCCCTCTCTTGCCCCAGGGCGATTCAAACCTGCATTTCCAAGGAGCAGCAGCCAGCAGATAAGTGACTATTCTGGGACTGGAGCAGTCTCTATGCCCTTGATTGAAACTCTGGTCTGTGGTTTTCTCCAAACAAACGATGAAACTTTCCTTAACAACAGTCTCCCGAGATCCTCTCTCTCTCCAGTGGGAGCAGGAAAAGGCAGAGCGACAGCGTGGGGAAACGCGCTGAGGTCCCAGTGCCGCTTTATCCAAACAGGAATTGTGCGATCTTGCGGTTGGTTGTTCCTTCGGGGCGCTCTGAAGGGACTGTGGTAGCTGTCAGATGGGTAAGGGTTAAATCGCTCTGAAAGCTGTAAGATGGAAAAGCCGGAGCTGAGGGCCGGGGGCGATGGTTGCAGAGAGCTGGAGCCGAAGCAGGTGAAAGGTCAGAGCTGGTCTGTGTGGGCTGGGAGCTCTGTGCAGGGCCTGTGGCGTGGGGAGATGGTGATCGCCGGCCGACACAGTGCCGATCAACTGTTTCTATTCATAAAGACTACTCACTGATCAGAAACAAACCTGGCGTTAGATACCTAGAAATAGTGGAGTCCCACCAGTCTCGGTTACCACAGTGCTTTGGAAAAATCTGATAGTTCTCGACTGGGGGTGGCGGGGAGCTGACACTGACTTTGAGTTGTACCTGGGATGGTGTTCTGTGCAAGTGATGGGTTTGCAAAAGTGTCTGGGGTCGAGAGATGTAGTGCAGGCATCTGCAATTCAGAGAAAGAACCTTCTAAGTTTTTGGTTTTTCCCCTCGTGCTTACATTTGTTAACACCATTCAAATAAAGCAGATCTGAAGGCTTCTGTTAATACAGGGATAAACTCTGTAACTAGGAATGGGAGTTGACTTTTTGGTTGGTATGACAGTTACTAAATAGTTATGTCTGGAATTTAAAGAAGCAGTTTGTAAATATATTCAATTTTAGTCTTTTCCTGGTATTGTGGAGATATATTCTCTACTTTATAAAAAGAAAGTAACAATCACTGGAGAATCATAAATATTTACATTTCAGGGAAGCTGCACTTCAGGAACACTGTTGTGTAGTGACAACTGTGATGCTTTGCTTTGAGTTTCTATTCTGTGACACTCACACTAAGTTGCTTCTCATTTCCCTCTCCAATCTTAATTTCCATTGGGAAAATTACTGTTCTGGTGGTGTGGTGCTGGTAAAGGACTGGAGAGGTGAAAGGTTCAAGTGTTAAAACAACACGTGCAGTCTTGATAGCTTAAAATATGCAAAAAAAAAAAAGAAAAACAGTCCAATAAGGTGGAGGTTCATGTGAATAGCTGTGGAAACAGAACTTCACTTTTTTTATTTTATTCATAAACTGTAAAACCAAAAGATCAATGCGATGAGAAAAATAGTTTAATATAACCCACAGATTTTACTTGTGAATTAGATGGTACTTGAGATGCTAAGCCACCAGTAACAGATCTATCCACTATTAAAATGGTGCTTACTATTGAGAAATAACTGTTGGCCATCTGAAGCTATTTAGTATAGGTGTAGTTAGATTCAAGACTGAAGTTTCAAAGTTACTTAACCTCATGTGTTTGGCTTGTTGCCATGAATAAGAAATTAAGTTTCCATAAAAACTGTGAAATGTGAAATTAAGCAGTCTCAGTAATCCTGAGTTGAATTTGAGAGCTAGATCACTTTCCTTCCAGATTTTTTTCCAGAATTAGAGTGCTCACACTTAACCTGTCATGACTTCTTAGCAAATGTGTGGCTAATTCAGAAAGTAAGCTGATGCAGATGGAAAATTGCACCAGCTTTACTGAGCCCAGTAGCTTGAAATTTAATGCAGTGTCTTCAGTCCTCTCACTGCTGGGCTTCCCTACTGGAGGTAACCGTTTGGATGAAAGTGTCTCAACGGAAAATGCTCATTTACAGCAAGTTTTCAAGAGGTCTGTAAGGTTGGATAGCTGTGTTATATAGCATCGAAGTAGATTGTGTCAGTATCATACTTTACAGCAACATGCTTTTTGGATCTTGCTAGTTTGGTATTGCTATTATTTTTTTTTCTCCAGAAATGTTTAACTAGTTGGTGGATACATAGAGCACTGGAAGTTACTAAGTTTCCTCAGTTTTGGAAGCTCAATATACTTTGCTTTACCAGAATATACAGTATGTTCTTTCAACAATTTTTTTTTTAATACTCTTTTGGCTTTCTAATGCTTGAGAAAACTAGTATGTCCTTTTTGGTATCTAAAACCCAAATGCAAAGGAAAAGATGGAAGAATATGGTTTCAGGCATAGTCACTTTTAAAACTACAGCTATGAGGATCATATATTTGTTCCCAGACACTTTTCTTACACATTTGATGTTTGCTTTTAGTATCTGTTGGTCATATTGCTTGTTGCTGCTAGTATTTTTTTCCAGCTGGAAAAATAGATTGTGGTTAAGTTGCTTACACAAGCAAGCTCTTTCTATCTTATTTCTGTTGGAGATATTGCAATAAACAATGTTTATGATTCTCTCCTGAGTTCAGTCTTACCAGAAGAGTGTCAAAAAAGAAGGCTTCAAGTACCTCTGAGTCCTTGTTCTTTCACGCGTTAATCTTTCTATCACTGACTTTCTTATCTGAATCGTTCTTTAGGGCTGCAGGGTTCTGGTTGATGCACGGGACAAACTGGGGATCCCTTGGCAGTACACAGAGAATGAGAAGCATGGAATGTTTTTGATGGCTTTTGAAAACAAAGCTGGAATGCCCATAGAGCCTGCCACCTTCCAGCTGTATGTACCTGCCCTGGGCGCACTGTGGAGGGATTCGGGAATCAAGGAAGCCTTCAGCCGTCGGAGCGAGTATCAGCTGGTGAGTACATCCGTCTTCATGGTGGGAGCAAAAAAGTTCCCTGTTGTATAAATGTCTTTTCAGTTGAAAGATTGCTTGCTACGTGCAAGATTTAGCCGTCGTATGAGCTATTTGTAGTAATACTGTAAATCTGAGCACTTCAGCAGTAGAAACAAGTGGTAATTGGAGCCAAACTTGAAAAACTACATGGCAGTAAGAGGGAGTGGAAAAGTGCACATGACTGGATAAACTGGAAGAGCAAGAGGAACCAAAAAAGGCAGGAATTGGTTGAACTAAAAATATTTTAGCAGCTCAGTAGGTCTGTTCATAGTAGGTCACTGATGAAGGCACACTTAATTTGTAACTTTCCAGTCCTGCCAGCTTGCACTATATTGATACTGGCAAACTATTCCTGCATGCAGATCTTTTGAAGTGAATGCAACACCCGTTCCGGCTGCTGCTATTTGACTGTTTCTTTTCATCCTGACGTCTGCAAGTGAAACTTGGATAAGCAACTGAAAGATGACAGTGAGCTTAAAAATGTGCTATCTTCCTTGCTTGCTTGTTATTTGGTTTTTGTGCTCGTGTGCCAAAATAGCTGCACTTCTGGTACGGAATATGTTTCTGACAGCTGTTCATAATCCACTCCTTTTTCTTGCTACGTATAAGATGGAGAAACTCTTTTCTGTATTTCTTCTCTGTTCAGTGAAAAAAAAGGTACTGATCCATGCAACTTAGTACCACTGTTACTAGTTCTTGGAAGATGATATGGGTTGATCTTCATGATTTTAACATATTAATTATGCTTTAATCTGCAAGTAGAATTCTTTGTTTTGTGTGTTCTGTCCTCAAACTTAATTCAGCTTGTTTTTTTTTAAAGTCAGTTATAGGTAAAATTCTTCATGCTTGGATGTGTTATCAATGTTTAATTACAGGAGTTAAGTAGAGATTAGAAACATGGCTTTGTATAGTCTCCCTTAGACTGAGGAACTCGACATAGCCATAGAAAAACTAGATAAATTCAGCCGTGAAATTCTCGTAGTTTGTTTCCTCGTGGCCCTCCTCCCTGGGTTCTCTAATGTCTGATACTGTAGTTAAACTCATGTTGCAGCCCTTAGATACTCATCTATCTCCCCTGGCTATTTGAGTCTTGCATATTTTTGTAATCTGCCTCTGAAGTATCTTGAGACTGGTAAATGGCTAAAGAATAAATAAAATGACTATGTAGAATTGTCACAGGATGACTGTATAAACCTCATTTCCTTAGGCTAAAAATGGCACAATTTCCCTGTTACAGTGTTGGGGAAGGGGGCGAGGATGTGCAGGGGGGAGAAAGGTAGATTAATTGTTCCATAATTCCTAGCATCTGTAGACATAGACTAAGACTTTGCTGTTCTAAGCACTGTTCAAACGTGGAATAAAAAGGATGGTTCATGCCACAGGGAACTTGAATTCAACATGAGACAACTACTAAGAGAATCCAGTATAATAAGCAATAATTGCATCAGCAGCCTGTTAGGAAATATTTTTTTTTTCTGGGAAATGCTATGATCAAGCATGGGGTTTGTTTTTAGGGGGAGATTTGGATTGGGGTCATGTGGGAGGTTCATTCCTCTACTGGTTAGCAATAAAATTGCATCAAACTGGAAAAAAAGTCCAGTTTGGATGAATAGCGTTCCAAGACTAGTAGGCCTACCTCTGCATTCTCTGGCTTTGAGAGGATTAAACAGGAAATGCCAAAACATTTTAAAAAGCCCCACAAACCCCAAGCATACAGGCACGCAAGTGATCATTTAATATGCTGTCATCTTCACCGTCATGGTATAGTTCTATCGCTCATCTTTTTGGATGATGGTTCATATAACCTTTCTAATGTTATTGGGGCAACTGGAACTGCTGCAGGCACTGTTGTCAATAGTGCGATGATATGATGTACTACAGAAATACTGTGTAACTCGGTCCCACTGCACACATTTGTGTCACTAACAACTTGAAAATCCTGGGTGCTGTTGTTTTACTGTGCAGGCTGCATCACCAGGAGATTATAAAGTATCTTCATTATAAATAAAAAGCACTTACTGTTTAAAACTTTTAAAATGTAATAGACTGTTCTCAAGGATATAAATGCTACTTCTGGATTGATCACTAAACAAATTATTAACACCTTAATAACTTGAACAAGTTTCCGTGCCTTACTTCCAGGTTCAGCGGAAGTCTGATTCCCTGAGTGCGTTGGGATTAGCAGCAGCACGATTTCTTTAAAAAAACAAACCAAAAAAACCCACCAAAACCCAACTGCATAATTCTTTAAAGAAAGCAGATGGTTTAAGGAGATGCCTTATTTATGCTTGCATATGATGTGTATAAACCCATACCTTGACTTAGTTTAAACCCTTGCTGGATATAGACTCATGTAAATAAATAGAAGCCAGATAGAGTGGACTCTGAGAAAATAAATCTTTTCTGAATTGATTTTAACGAATGCTAAGAAAACTTCTGCATCAGCACTCCTTTCTTATTTAGTATAAGTGAGCTATTAAATGGAATTTGCTTGGTTTGAAATGAATTCATTATCTTTATAATAGTTTTAAAATCATCACCAAAATTTAAAGCTTTACTATGATCCGTCTGAGTGTTTCTGGACAATGTTTGAAATTATGACCTTGCTCAGCACTTGCATCTTCTTCACACTGGTCTTTCAGTCAACTGAACACCAGCTCTTTTTTTATTATTGTTATTATTTTGGCTTCTAAACTATAGGATTATATTGGTCTGCTTTTGAACAGGAAGTTGTATGACTTTGTTTAAAAATAAAAAGTAAAACATGTTTGGTTAACTAGAGCTGAAAATTGCAGTGTACAGGTGTCTTCCTGTGGTCTGTAATGCTAAGCTGAATGACTGACTCGGCAGTAGAAAACTTGTTGAAAGAAAATGGCTCTGACCATAACCTCATACAATCAGAAAGCTGCTTCTCTGGGACCACAGAAGCTGCCTCTAGGCATTTGAGTGTGTTCTGCTTCACATTCAGTGCCTAGAAGTGCTGGCTGTAAATCCCTGTCTGGGTCTTTAAGCCTTTCAGGAGTGAGTGGGTGGATTCTACAATACCAGGGTGCTTTTTTGCTTTTTTCTTCACTGTCTTAAAGCAGACTAACCAATTTCACTTTCTTTTCAGTCATCAGCCTCCTGCTCTTCCCCCGCCCCAGTCTGTCCCCACCGACCCAAGTTCCTCTGTTCCTTGTATGCAAGCCAAGTAGTTTGGGGACAAAAGCTTCATTGTATGTTTGGTTACATTGTCACATCTCTGTCCTCCTTTTTTAACTGCTAGAATAGGAATTCCTTTGTAATCAGTATGTGATTCTTCTCTCTTCTCCCTTGCCCTCATTATCCTACCCCATTTTCTGTCTGTATGTTAGAAAGGAATACATTTATCATGTGTCTCAAAATGCTCTGTAACATTTGTTCTTTTGAGGTTGCCTGTGCCAGTTTGGGTAACTGGGTGTTAACTCGTCATTGCCAGCAGGTGGAGACAAATTCTATTTTGAATGGCTTTGAATGGCCTCTGAGAAAGGACCTTGGGACTTCAATTGTGATTTAGCTGAAAGAGTGGAAGCTTCTTCAGTCTGAGCCTAATCACAAGTGTTTGGGTATATTTGGGAGTCTGGGTGCATGTATCTGCAAGCTTTTTTGCACCCATAAATGATGTTTTGGTTTATGCCATAAACCATGGAGACTTGGGCCAAGGTAGGAATTGCTTTGGTCAGGTGGTTTCTGGGGTTTTGGTGTGGTATTTTTTTTTTCTTCCTCCTAGGCATCTAGTGGGAAAATGTGAGAAGCCATTCACTTCTGGTTTAATGTGTCCAGAGCAAAACCTGAAGTGAGGTTAGCTACTTTTTTGACTTCTTGCAACTTGGCGTGCTTCATGTCATTGCGGGTACAGATGGGACAAATAGGGTTTGTCAGGCAAGAAAATAATACTTTTGTCACGGTCAGAACAGATATATATTGTGCGCTAGCACTGTTACAGAGCTTAAGCTAATAACAAGCAGATCTGCAAAGGCCGTTATCTGGCTTCATCAATTCTTAAAGCAAAATTGACACTGTTTTATCAGGTTTTTTAAATATGCACAATGTGTTTTGTTTTTTAAATCTCCATCCTAACTACTCATGGTCAAAGTGGTATCTTCATTTGAATGATTCTTACTGTTTCCCTTCAAAATACCAAGTCTTTCTAGCCTGTCACTATGTATTTAAAGAGCTCCTGAACTTTTCCTGTGGTAAAAGTCATATTCTCATCTCTTCAGGATTGATGGGGCTATTTACTCTGAACTCCAAAGCCTATTTGCAGTTAAGGTAACTGCTTACAGATACCTGCTCTTCTTCATACAGAAAGGAGCATGGTCATCCAAGGAGGCTGCAAAAGGCTTCTGGTTTAATGCGGTAATTAATATCCAGAATATATTCATGATCCATCACTAGAGCATCAATTTAAATTTAGTTGTTATTATTGATGTATTATTATTGGTGTTCACTGCACTGTTGAAAGAATTTCTAATATTTTAATAGCTCCTTTTTAAAAAAAAAAGGCAGCATTAATGGGAAGTAGTGGTTCCTGAGAGGGAAGTAAAGGGCTTGCAAATATAGACAAAAACTTACTACTGTGTCTGTAGCTATTTTTAGATCTCTGCACAGGGAATTGTGTGGAACACTTCCAGTAATACTTCAAATACTAAGAGCCTCTGAAGCCTTGGATGTGGGAAGACTCTGGAAAATGTTTTAAAGACCCTTTCTTTTATATCGATTCACCATTCTCCGGGTGGTTTTAGGTGTGGGTGTTTTGAGGATATTTGTAATGGGACATGAGTCACTCCCCTGCGAATTAACTATGCGGGTTTTTTCCTCTCAGCAGACACTTGAAATAAATTGAAGTGATTAAATTATGCCTGACAGAATAGATGCAGTGTGCTGGAAATGTGTAGTGAACAGCCTGCACCTTGCAGTAGTATAGCTTTGTTGCTGCATTC